ATGATGATAAATATTAGGGTGTAGAGCTGGAAATGGAGAAGCACTTACTAGGGGGATTCAGATATTGATGATGTGGTGTAAACTTAATATTATTACACTTCAAATTTTATTTGGAAAATTCTCATGAAAACTTTGGCTTTGTTGTGAATATTCTGTTACTTAATGTTTCTGATTTCCTGAAGAAAACATGATGACAATAGCATGCAGGTTAATTGAAGTGATGTGACACATTTGAAAAGCCTAGCCTCCATGTGTGGTTTGTAACCACATTATTAGGCAATATGTTTTCTTTTTGAATCACCTCACCTCATCAAGTAATGTAAGAACTAATGTAAGAAGTCCCTGGGGGCTGGCCATTACTAGAGTGTAAGGTATTGGACTTTGAACCAAGAAATCTATAGTTTAGACTTCACTTTTCCATAACTAGATATATGACCTTGGGCAAGCCATTTAATTTCCCTGGGCACTTAGACTAAAATAGTAATAATAATTCCAGTTTATTATATGCCAATATTCTGTTGAGTATACTTTCTTATCTCATTAATAACCCTTCTAAGTAAATATTTGACATAGAAACAAAAAACAAAAAACAAAAAAACCCTGAAGTTTAGAGTTCTAAGAAAATTACTCAAGGTTGCCAAACTAATAAAGAGTAGAAATGGGGTTTTAATTGAAGCATGTTTATTCTAAAACCTATGTATTTGTCACTTACTAGTAGCTGGGCACAGGAAATTCAGTCCAGCCTGCACCCTCTCCAATTGGGGACCCCTTGGGTGATATCAGACCTCCAGTTTAGGCCCCATCTCAAAATCTGGGACTGCTGGCTCCTAACTGCTCACCTGCCTGCCTGCCTGATCACCCCTAACTACCTCTGCCTTTCTGGTTACCCTAATCCCTCTGCTTGCCTGCCTGATCACCCCTAACCTCTCTGCCTGCTTGTCTGATTGCCCCTAACTGCCCTCCCCTGCTGGCCTGATCTCGCCCCCAACTGTTCTCCCTCTGCCAGCTAATTTGGTTCAGATTGGTCAAGTTTTTATGCCCAACAGTGTCAAAAGCTCCACCTCCTAGGCAGCCATTGGCTCCTCACAGTACACCAAGATTTGGTTCTGATTGGTCAGTTTCTGTGCCAGTCAACATCAAAAGCTTCACCTCCTAGACAGCCATTGGCTCCTCACAGTTCACCCAGATTTGGTTCTGATTGTCAGTTTTTATGCCTGTCAGCATCTTCAGGCCTATCTCTGGGCCTGATCAGAGAGGCAGGATGACCAGCAGCTCCCTCAGAAGACCGGAGGAGAGAAACAGAGATGCGGTTGCTGGTAAAGCTCGAAGAGAAAGAGGGAATAGCTGATCAACAGTTGCCACAGAGGCTACAGATCAGACCCTACCTGCCTTTCTCTCTGGGTCTCTCTCTGGGCCTAATTTGCAGCCCCTTTAGCACTCAGTGCTGGGTTGTTGTGCCAGCAGTGGCAGCCATCAGTGCTAGGTCTCCATGGCAACCCAATACTGACTGCAGGACTGACTTCTGGTGTTCGTGTTTGGTGTTTGGTTGAGCCTTCAGTCATTACGGACACTGGGTTTTTATATATTAGGATGCTATTCTGCCTTCTTAAGAAGTATGTACCTTCCTAACTAGCTTGGTCACATATTTGTTAAGAGCAGAGTTTGTAACAGAAAGTTTGACTTTAAATCCTGCTTATTGACACTTAACTAGCTTTGTGACTTTCAGTAAGTTACCTATACTCTGTAACTTGTTTTCATCTGTAAAATGGGGACAATGGTATCTACCTCTTAATGTTATTATGCAATATAAGTAAACCATTTAGAAGATTGATAACTTTAATATTAATTTATCTGGCATAAAATTTATAGATATATACCAAGAGAAATACAGTTGAATCAATGAACAGATATTTATTTATGTATTAAGATATTTCATAAACCTGTACCACATATTTCAGGAAACAGTATGAAAAAATGTTGACACAGTTCCAAAACAATAATCATTCCACAGAATGAAGTTTCTCCCTTCCTGAAACTTCCCTTTAAAGTGCTATTAGCCATAAGAAATTAAAAGGTCAATAGAGAAAATAAAGTCTCCTACAGAGGGTTCTTTACTCAGCCACACTGGTCTCTACCAGATGACACACTCTTTTGCCTTTTGTCATGTGTGAATATGATGTCAAGTACATTTTCCCCCATTTTGGAGAAAGGGGGATGTTATTAAATAGTGTATTAGTAATAACATAGTTTTATGATTATTACTTTAAAAAGTATTCTTTCATTATTTGGATTTAAAGATTTTGTGAGTCTCTTTATTTGTTATGACTTTTTCCCCCCATTTTGGCCTGGAGATGATATATTAATACTTCATGAGAACTTATTTATATTTATAAAGTTTCAAAAAATGAAGCTTCAAAGCCAAATATTTTGACTTTGGGACTCATGCATTACAACAGTTGATGCCTGAAAGGTAGAAAATTAATTGTATTTTTTAAAATGGAAGTGATTTTTTCTTAAAATCAACAAATTAGTAATTTCACAGGAACATTTTCCATACAATTACTGCTGAGATTTTATTAGAAACTACAATTTTGAATTTTTGGAACCATTTACATAATATATATTATAGAATCTCCAAGTATTCTCTAGTAAATAGTGTCTCCGAGGTCTGCAACTTGACTTGAGGTAAAATGAGGAGAAGCATTTCTGAATCTGCCTAAGGCCACAAAGTAAAGTGAAATAAAATATAGAAATCCCAACTTGATCAAAGTCTCCTAGGACATTTTAAAATTCAACTTGGTCTCATCTACTATTTATACTATGAAAGTAGAAAAATAAATCCAATAACTCGACAAATATTTACTGAATGCCAGTGTGTGCCAGGCATTTTTCTCCTCAATGGTCACAATACAATCTCAGAGCCCTGCAGGTTATCATCACATTCAATTTGAGGAAAATGAACACTCTTCGGACTTGGATTTAGCAAATAGTCACTCGCCTACCCCTCCTTGTGGGTAAAGTATACTTTTCTTAATGTTAGTCTTGGCCATGGACTTGACTTGTCCAAAAGGTGTTTGCTATAAGACAGACTCCAAGCAAAGACTTGAAATGTGTTTCTGTACTAGAGAAGCTGTCTGGTATTTCTGACATTGCTGAAAACAATATGATTTTTGCAGCTCACTTGTCTCAGTAGAATAAGACCTATGTTGAGCAGATTTACTCTAGGTAACTGCCCCATAAAACATTGGTAACTGATTTGCTCCAGCCAACCTATAAACCTAAAGCTTGAAGCATAGCCACCCTAGTTTACCCCCAAAAATGTGAACATAATAATAAATGTTTTTTTGTTTGTTTGTTTCATACTAATGAATTTTGGGATGGTTTGTTGTGCAGCACTAACTGACTGATACCATTGCTTTATCTGAAGTCAGATAGTTAATAATCAGGAAAAAAAATAAAGATTCTTATTTCATATTGCTTATAATCTAATCAGAAAAGAAGAAAACCCTATGCCCATAAACTTCAACTGATAACCTAGACTGTACAGTTTAAACCATAAGATCTCATAGTTTTCACAAGGGCAAGATTAGTGAGAGTTGGAATATAGATATACCATTTAAAACTGTAAAATAACCTAATGTCTCTACTGAGAGCATTAGAGTGTTACTTCAACATATGTTAAGTAGGACTAGATTAGGAATGGGCAAAATGTGGCCTAATTGCCATCACTCTCAGATCTTGAACCAATGCTATGAATCCCAAGTCAATTCTGATACTCATTCATGCAGTGCCTAGAAGGAGTCTCAAAATTCTCAAAGTAGTACTGTAAGGAGTGACAGCTAATTGAGTAGAGTTGACATATGAGCTCTAATATGTATCTCACTTCATCTTGGCAGAAAATCTTTTGAGAGATATTAATTTCTTCCCATTAAAAGCAAATATTCTAAGGAAAATTGATAGCAAAATATTTCTACTAGTGATAGATATAGGATATCATTCATTTTGCTGAAAAGGGGATACTGTTTCTTTTATAATATAATAAGATGCTTCACCTGGACAGGTTTTATTCGTTAATTAACTAATGATTTAAATTAATATTTATTGATAACTTCTAATTGGTAAACACCAAAGAAAAAAGTTAAATACTTCACAACCTCTGCTTTTGATATGCTTAAAGTTGCAAAGCAGTTGAATAAAACAAAATGAGAACAAAACTTTAGCAAGTAATCTAAAAATATAAAAGCCTAATAGTGCAGTGTCCCCTTGGGAATTCCACCAACTGGGAATTCTATTGCTGTGATATGCGCTGATCACCAAGGGGCAGCATGGGCTAAAGGAAGGACAGTGGCTGGCAGCTACAAGGGACCTACCAATGCACCTAATTTTGTGCACTAGATCTCTAGTGTGATTTTAATAAAGAGAATCCAGGGTGAGCAAGTGAAAGCAAAATGGTGAGATATCTTTGAGCAGTTTCAGGGCTTCATAGAATCCTTAAGACATATTTGGAGGCCTTCCCTGGCAGTAAATCACCAAGTGAGCTCTACATAGAAATGTAGAGCCCAGCATGACTGCTATGGAAGTTATATTCCGGGATTTGTGCAAAATAACACGGCCCCTTAGCATTGCTCTACGCAGTTCTCAGAAGCCATTGATGATTCAGTTGAACATTTCCTAGCATCTTCAGTCTATGGGAAAACACACGCACACACACACACACACACACACACACACACACACACACACATACACACACCACACATTTTCAAGAACTCCTGGCTTCAAAAGAAACCCAGTTCTCCTTTGAGGTGGTTGAATTACTTGCAGTCTAAGTGGAGGTTTTCATTCTTCCACTCAGCATTCATTTTAAGATCAGATGTGTGATCTGTATAATCCTGGGTCATTTATTGCTCCTCTGTCTTCTTTCAAAAAGTCTGATTCCTGACTCCTGTTGGAAGGCAGCTCCCGCCTGGGTCCTTGCAGGTGGGTAGGTGCTGTCGGACATGCCCTCCAACAGGTCCAGAGGAAGAGGAAGGCGCCAGAGGACCAAGTTCAGCCAAAACCAACTTGAGGTTCTTATCAAGGCCTTTGAGAAAGATGCATACCCTGATAGCACGGTCCGAGAAGAACTAGCCAAGCAAATCCAGATTCCTGAGTCCAGAATCCAGGTGTGGTTTCAGAACCGGAGAGCTAAACGATCAAGTGACCCCAAAAGGAGGCCCTGTCCAGGGAATGATGCTGTGGCTCCTGGATCCCGCCAGGGTGTATTCTCTGCCCCCTGCCACCATGGCCTCCAGGGCCTTTCCCTCCCATGTGGCTCCAGCAGAGGAACTCTACAAAGCAATGCGGGCCACTTCTCCTGGGGGACAGAGCAATTCTCCTGGGGGGCAGAGCGTGCTTCTGGGCCAGCAGGCCTCTGGGGTCACACTGGTGTGCTGGGGGCCAATGTGGTCACTCCCCAACTAGAGACTCCAGCCAAGGCACTGGGAGAACTTTCCAGGAATTTCCATCACTCTTCAGCTATGGGTGCATTTCCTGCTCCCCAACAGCCCTTCCAGGTAGAAGCTGGTGGCATAGACATGCATCTGGGGGACCCCAAGGCACCCATATTTGGGGACTGGGCCCTGCAAGGGCAGGGGCAGCATTTTCCTTCTGATGGGCAGCAGCCATGGTGGGGCTGGCAGCCTCTACTTGCTTGGGAGCCAGCGATGGCTCCCCAGGAGCCACTGTCCCAGGACCCTGGAGCCCAGAAGCAGCCACCCACGCCCCCTTCAGCCCAGGAACACTGGATGGATCCTACTGAGACCAGATGCCTTAAGGAGGAGGAAGAGCCCTACCTGTTTGGATAGACTGTGGACTGAACGGTCCCAGGTTTGGTTTCCGTCAAGGGCTTATACTTCCGTTATAGACTCAATCTTGTGGGAGGCAACTAATTGATGTGTCTCTCTCACACTGAAGTTTCTCTCGGACTCCTGCTCAGGTTTTCTTTGAGAAGTTTTATAGTATAGATTGTACATTTAGATTCATGATCCATTTTGAGTTAATTTTTACCTATGGACTAAGGTATGGGTTCATTCATTTTTGCCTCCTATGCTAATTATTTTAGCACCATTTCCTGAAAAGGTTATTCTAGCACCACTCAATCACCTTTGCACCTTTGTAAAAAAAACAATTGCCTATACATGTATGGGTCTTTTTCTGGACTTTGTTATGTTCCACTGATTGATCTATTTTTACACCAATACCAAACTTTCTTGATTGCCATAGTCTTATTTAAATCTTAAAATCAACTGTAATCCTCCAATTTTGTTCTTTGTCAAAGTTATTTTGACCACTTCAGGTCTGTTGCATTTTAATATGAGTTTTAAAGTGAATTTGTCCATTTCTATCTTAATAAGGCTGCTGAAGTTTTATTGTGATTGCATAGAATTTATAGATTAATTTAGAAAGAACTGATGTCTTGGTAAAACTGAGACTTCCAACCCACGAATATGGCAGTAAAGCTCTTCATTATTGCATCATCTTTCATTGCTCCCAACAAAGGTTTACAGTTTCTAATGTGGAGACACGTTTCACATCTTTTGTCCCTAATTTATTCCCAGGTATGTAAAATTTTTTATACTATTATAGTCTTTTTTTTAAATGTCCAATTTGTGGCAAATGGAATTACAATTGATCTGTGTATCTCAAGCGTGTATTCTACTACCAAATGGAGCTTCCTTAATAGTTCTAGTATTTTTTGTAAATTTCATTAGATGTTCCCACCTCGATGAGCATGCCATCTATGAATAAAGTCAGTTTTACTCCTTCATTTAAAAAAAAGTCTGATTCCTGTGATTCTCACACAGTCTCACAGCTGTTGCATGTTCTAGTAGAGATACTCCTCATTATTATCATTTGCCGCCTCAGCCATCACAAATTTAGTTCCTGGTTCAGTGACTCCTTATTCATGTCAACTCTTGTCATGATGTCTTGTTTTAAATCTTGTTTAGATATAAAACAAGAACAACAACAAAATAACTCAACAAAATAACTCCCATGAAATTAAATGTCTTACAAACTTTAATTTGCTAAGCTATACATCTTAAGCATACTCCTCCTTTCTCATCTTTAGTCTGATCTCTTCCTAGTCATCCTTGAAGTTTGGGGTTTTTTTTGTTTGTTTGTTTGTTTTTTTAGAATGAAGCTTTTAACAACAAAGATAATTTTACTTTTCCTGCTTTGGCTTTCTATGGCTTTCCATTCATTGCTTTTAGAATGTCAACCAAACTTCTTGAGTCATTTCTCTATAATATAGATCCCACCTATCTCTATAGTCTTTTATCAAGATCCATGAATCATTACATTCTATGTTTGACCTGTGTTACATTTCTTTTAGATATTCACATTTACTACACTAGTACTTTCTCACCTCAGGGCACTGAAATTGGTCTTGTTTTGCAAAAGTTCTAATACTTCTTTCTTCCTAAATTCCTTAAGCCAGCTTCAACCTAAACATTACTGTGCTTGTAATGCTGATAATTAATCCACTAGATAAAGGAGGCTGCCCTTGTAATTTTTCTAATAATTTGTTATAAACTCACTGCATAGCATTTATCAGAATTTATTATAATTTATTAATTGTATCTCAATTCTACCAGATTGAAAGTTCACACAATAGTGATCACAGATGTTTCTTTCATCTTTGCATCTCCAGTGCTTAGCATAATACTTGGAAGATGATGGAATAAATACATATTCATTAAATAAAAAATTACACTTCGGTTAGTTACAGTGCAACAGACCCATTGGCTCAGTACCATCTAGGACTCATTTTGAGTCATAGGCTCTATAGACATGACAGTAGTAAGAAAGTTGGGAAGATAATTTGAGGATAAATAGTTGAGGGTCTTGATTCCAACAGTAGTGGCTGCAGGCAATAAAAATGATACCTTTCAGAGTACACATTTTTTTAAGTACTCTCACCTGAGTGCCCTCTTCTCAATTTATTGTCGACTTTCTTGCAAGGTAAGGATAGCTAGCTATTGCGTCTGCTACACCATTTTTTTATTCTGTGGCATCCAGGCACAGAGTATCATCTACGATTATACTGACAGCTAAATGGCAACAATCGAGAGAAGATTTGATGTAAATAGAACAAAGAAACTCTGGTCTTTACTGAGGTTGCATATTCTAATGCACTGAAAATAAGAGCATTAATTACTATTAAACTCAAAAGAGATGGCAGAAATTCATGCTGAAAGTGGAAGGATAGAATGTTACAGGCTGCAAATACCAGCCACAAACACCTTTGTGATAAGAGACAAAGGAGTATGTACGAAAGGAGTATAAACATGTACATCTTTCTTCTTTTTTAAAAAAAATATATTTTATTGATTTTTTACAGAAAGGAAGGGAGAGGGGGAGAGAGTTAGAAATGTCAATGAGAAAGAAACATCGACCAGCTGCCTCCTGCACACCCCCTACCAGGGATGCGCCCACAACCAATGTACATACTCTTGACCAGAATCGAACCTGGGACCCTTCAGTCTGCAGACCAACGATCTAACACTAAGTCGAACTGGTTTCGGCAACATGTACATCTTTCTTAAGAAAGCATTGGAAAACAGTTTCCTGTATTATTATTAAAATTATAATTAAATGTGTACTATTTTGACACTGAAACCCATGGAAAATACTCACAAAATGTGATATATATTCTTTAAAGTAAAGCTGATCCAGGAAAATGACATTCAATCCTAATGATTCAATTAAATATATCTGTGGATAAACAAGAAAATTATCTGGAAGAGAGAATGCACTGATTCATACAACAAAAGACATTATTTAAGTAGAGTTTTTGGTGAAAACAATTTATATTAAAAATATTTGCTATATCACAATGATTCTCCCCCCTCATTGTCAATTACTAGGTTCTAGTTAACTATAATAAATTAGAGGCCTGATGCATGAAATTTGTGCAAGAGTAGGCCTTAGTAGCCCCAGTGACTGCCTAGATACCTAGGCTACAGCCATTTGATCACTTTGCATATTACACTTTTATTATTATAGATTAGAGGCCCAATGCATGACATTCATGCAAGAGTAGGCCTTACTTCCCCCTGCTACCCAGGTTGCCTAGACTGGCTTTCCTCTGGCACCTGAGACCTGGGATTCCCTACAACCCAAGTTTCATGTTACCCTTTTACTATTATAGAGAGGGGAAAAAATAGCAAAATATGGATTGCATTGATAGAGCAATGATATAGACATCTTTGACGTTATCCAGATCAATTTTCCATGCAGAATCTTCATGACTTGTGTAACTGCTGCTCCCACCAGACTTGTAACCTTATATAGCTGATTTGAGATCAGCCAAAGGATTTATAAGCATGCATATATGCCTAACCAATGGACAAAGACACCAGGGAGGTGAGAGTATGAGGAAGAGACAATGGGGGAGGAGGGTAAGGACACATATGTGATAACTTAATCAATAAAGAAATAAATAGAGAGAGAGAAACAGACTATTATACTTGAGATGCTTAGATTCTCTTCACATAGATGAAATTCAATGGATAACTCTTTACTTCATTAAACTGTTATAGACACAGCCATGCCTGGTGAAGAATTAAAAGAGATACACTTTGGGAAAGATTTTAAACAGGCACAACTTAATGTTATAAGTTGGATTCATTTCATGGTACTGAAATGTTTATATGTTGTTTCTGCTGTCAAGTAGCTTGCCACATGTGAGTGCTATTTAGATATAAAACAAGAACAACAACAAAATAACTCAACAAAAGAGCTAAGGGTTCTTTCAGCTGGTTTTCAAACATGGGTAAATTTTTTTTGTGGTTTTGGTGATGGTGAAACTGATGTAGTTTTTACTCATCTATAAATAAAAAGACCAATGAATGGCCAAAAACTGTGTGAGAGAGAGATAGAGTTTGTGTGTGCGTGTGAGTGTGCGTGTGCGAGAGAGAGAGAGAGAGAGAGAGAGAGAGAGAGAGAGAGAGAGAGAGAGAGAGAGAGAGAAATTGAGAGGGAGAAAGTTTGTTCTGACAAAGTTCTAACGCTGATGGTCAGTGATTTTCCATAGTGGTTTTTACTATACAATTCTTCAAAACTCCCCTTTAACAAATCTCTCCCCTGTTAATTTGTTCTCAGTTCAAACCAGCAAACATATGTCTTCTCAACCCCACATTAGCCATCTGCAAAGAGGACCTAGATCTATCCCATACCAAACTATACCTAGATGAGTTCCTAGGATCCCATTCTTCATAAAGAATAGCCTGCAGTGTTTATTCTAAGCATCTATTCTTTACCCTGAACTCAATATGAAAAAATTCCTAGGGATACACCCTAGGAATGTGCACTTTAAACAACCGCCTCCTGTGATTCTGTCCCAGACTACTGCTTTCATAAGGATAGTTGAGATAGGTTGGATCTCAGCTGAGGCTGGGTCTGTCACATGGGGAAGAGCTACATTAATCACAAGTGAGGCTTAAATTACAAATATTATAACAGTATAACAGCATTTATTGAGTGCTTAACATATGCCAAGCACTGTTAAATATACTTATACATGTTTTATTTCATTTATTCTTTATAACATGACTAAGAGACAGATGCTGTTATCATCTCTACTTGAAAAATGAGAACACTTTCAGGGTTGAAAATGTTAAATAACTTAAGCAAAGTCACACAAATACTGAAATATAACTCCCAAAACTTTTTAATGTAAGTATTTCATTGCATTGTCAACTAGAAATAAGTAAATATTTCTTATTTACCAGTCAAGTCCCATACAGATCAATAAAATTACATAATTCCAGTTCTTGTTAAATCACATGGATAAAGACAAGAT